GGGCCACTCCAAGGAACCACACATTTCCAACCCCTATGAATGAGGTCCCCAGACAGTCTGCAGGGGTAGAAAGACTTCCGTGAAGAAAGCAACAGATTTGCTGGATTTGCTCCTATTAATGAAATTTCGTACTTCGTGCCAGTCCTCAATACAAATCATAGCCTGGAACTATGTCCTAGAATGACACGAAAAGAGAAAAGGTTTGGGGCAAAATATGGCAGCTCCATTCTTGGAAACAAAATTTCATCTTGGAAGCTTAAAGTTCCAGGCTTTTATAAACATTAAAGTTATAAGCTTATCACAATATTTCCAGCACTAACTGGTAATGCAAGTAAAGTGATGACTTTACTATTTCATCCCTGAAAGAAAATACTTTGCATCATTTATACACCTTGGTTCGGTAAGGTCAGTTTTTTATGTTTTGTTTTTTACATTTTTGGAAGGCATTTAACAACAACAAAAGAGATTATTTTAGAGTGAGGGAGAGCCTGCGAGGGGAAGGGGCAGAGACACAGGGATGGGGAGAGAATCTCAAGCCGACTCCCGGCTGAGCACGGAGCTGGATTGGGGGGGGGGTCTCCATCTCCTCACCCTGAGATGCCTCTCCCTAGAAGGCATTTTGGATAAAAAAAAAAAAAAAAAAAATAAGGAGAACTCCGTAAGCTCCAACCCTCAAGAAGGCTAGTCTACGGGCTGCAACTATAAAACAGCAAGCCTGACAATGTTATTTCGGGCTTGTGTACATCACATTCTTAACCCTATGTTCCCTAAAGGTGGTGATCTTCAAGTAGGAGTGACAAAAAGGGGAGGGGCAATGTTGGAATTTTTAGGGTAAACTCCGGAGTGGTGTGGTGAAGAGAGACTCTTTTCATAATACAAATGAGAGAAGTTAAAGCTTGACAAAATCTTTTGCTGGTGGGAGGTATGCAAGGTTTAAAGAGGGAAAGTTAATTAAAATAAGCTAATTTAAATAAAAAAGATTGGGAAACTTTCTTAATATTAAGCTGGTCTAGAGAATTTATCTACTGGGGTCCCTGGGTGGCTCAGTCAGTTAAGCCACCAACTCTTGCAGCTCAGGTCATGATCTGGTTGCGGGATACAGCACACATACCCCACCCCCACACCTTGGGCTGGGCCTGGAGTCTTGCCGATCTCCTTCTTTCTCTGCTCTTGGCCCACCCCTGGCCCCAGCGGGGTCTCTCTAAAACAAATAAATAAATCTTTGAAAAAATTAAAAAAAGAATTTATCTACTAAGAAGGAACTTAGGTAGAGAAAATAGTCACGTGAAAGCATAAAATACGGCATAAACTGATGGAAACTTCCTAGCCGAATGATTGCTGAATTAAAAGTTAATCATCATTGCATTAGGAGACTTCAACTTTAAGCAATGAATGATAGACTGTGGATTTCCAAAACTGAAGAACTAAGATCATGAAATTCACCTTTCATTTCTATTTTAGACCCAAATAAACTTAGATTTAAATTCAAAAGCAGACAAGTATTCAGATCCTTAATACTGTGATTTTATTCGGAATAATTATCTTTTATTTTCAATGCCTGTTGTGTCTTTACCTCATGTCACAATTTAATCCCTCTTTAAACTTAATTTAATGCCCAATTTAATCTCCATATGACAGCTAATAATTAAGATAACTCATGTTGTGTAGCATCCTGTTTGGTTGTGTTGGTCATGTATATGTGTCGTGTACAATATTGTTTTGTACCATGCAATTTAATGAACAGTACCACTTGATAATATTTATTAAGGAAGAACAAAAAACCAAGCTACCATCTTTTGAGAGTTAAAACATAGGTTTTCATGGTGATGGTATGAATAGCAAAAGATTTTACATGCTACAGAGGACTACTTTTAGTATTTGTACATTACAAGTGTACAACCTACAGATTATGTGTATTTTATATGTACAGATCTGGACAGTATATGTACAAATCTGAAATAATCATTTTGTAAGTACAGTAGTATGTGGATTAATAATTTGTATTAGTGGTTTTCATCCTTTTCCCCCTTTTTCTCGTGGAATCTTTCAAAGGAATTCTTGGAAGCCCAGTTTGCAAAACAGACACAGGTAGCTCTCTGCTCTGATCGAAGTGTTTGTGGGGCTGGAGATGGGGTGAAGGGCCTAAAGGTAGCCCTTTAGGTTCGCTCTCAATGGCCCCTAAGCCCTTTCATGTAATCTCTAGAATTTCTGGAGCATAGTTTGGAAATTGTTGTCCTATATAATGCCCTACATTTGTGGTGGGCATTTATATATGTGAAGGTACTTCCTTCCCACAACATTCAATGTTTTTTTCATTTTACAGATAAGGAAACAGGGACTCAGGTCAATTCATTTTCCCACTGTCACATAATTACTGAGTGATTAGATTTAGGACTTGAACTCAAATCTTCTGCTCTGACTCATGTTTTTCCCCTTAATTCATACTGTCTATAACCATAGAAAACATGCTCAGGATGTTTTCTAACATCCAAGTAGGATGAGGTAGAATTTATGTAAAGCATGAGTGTTTCTTAATGTAGTCCCTCTACAGCAGAAGTGAGTGATGAGAGTCATGTGGATCACAGCCCTGTGGCTCACCCAGGTCACCGACTACAGAAGGCTGGGAGATGTGTGTAATCTTTACCTATAAACCTGGCCCTTTCTTCCCCACTTGAGAAAGCATATTGGAGTACAGGGTACAGGGTGATGATATTATCGGAGTCAATTTTTATTTATGAACAAGATGAACAGTTCGCCCCTTGCCTTTGGCAACCACCAGTCTGTTCTCTGTATCCATGGGTTCGGGTTTGTTTTGTTTTAAATTTCATATATAAGCGAGATCATACAGTATTCGTCTTTCTTATTTGTCTTTGACTTATTTCACTTAGCATAATGCCCTCAAGGTCCATCCATGCTGCTGCAGATGGCAGGATTTCCTTCTTTTTTATGACAGAGTAGTATTCCATTGTATATTTACACATTTTCTTTATCCATTCACCCAAAAATAGACACTTAGGTTGCTTCCATGTTTTAGCTATTGTAAATAACGCTGCAATGAACATGGAGGTGCATATATCTTTTTTCAGTTAGTATTTTCATTTCCTTTAGGTAAATAACCAGAAGTGGAATTGCTGCATCGTATGATAGATCTATTTTTTAAAACTTTTTGAGGAAACTCCTCACTGTTTTCTATAATGGCTGCACCAATTTACATTCCCATCAACAGTGCTTGAGGGTTCTCTTTTCTCCATATCTTCAACAACACTTACTTCCTTTCTTTTTGATAATAGTCATCCTAACAGATGGGAGGTAATATCTCATTGTGGTTTAGATTTACATTTCCCTGATAGTTGTGGCTCCTTTTTACTCTACTTTGGAATGCTTTTAGGTCCTCAGAAGGAAGGAAATATAGAACTCAGAAAGATCATCGGTGAACATCTAACCAGTATTGAACATACTTGCCACATGCAAGATTTAAGTCCTGCATCACAGGTGGGTGTTGAATGTTATTATTCTGATTGTTACACTAAACACTTCCCATCTTATGCCCAGGCAGTTTATTTTTTTCCCCTAATTTTCCATTTTTCATTGGCCTCTATTGAGTCCCTTCACCCACTAAGGTAACTTTTGATTTCAGTATTATAGTCAAGATGCTGATCACTCATTGCACTTCTTTAGATCTACTGTCTCTTAACTAGAAGATGAAAAACAATTATTTCCACTGATAATTAAAGTACTGAAGTTTGTGAACTGTTCATCTTGTTCATAAATAAAAACTGACTCAGATAAAAACAGGATAAGACTTCTCAGACCCCTTGATATGTTCATGTACATTGTAAAGCTGAGAGCACAAGAAAATCAGAAGCATTTTTACAAACAGCTAAATAAAGAACTTTCTCCCTACCCTTTCATACCTCAACAAAGCACTGGAGTTCTGGAAAATGCCGATGTACAGCAATGTTCTTAAGCAAGTCAGAAAATTGGCAGATACTTCCTAATTAAGAAGAAAGCTCAATATGTCTGGAACCAAGCATAGTAATGTCACACTAATCTTCCCCTACCCCATATCACACAGGACTGGGGCTCTATGGAACACCCTAGTCCTGTGGGTGAGGCTGTTCTAGCCCAGCTGTTTTCACTTACCCAGGATGACCTACAAATACCCACCTTCCTTTCTTTTTTTAATTAACATTCCTCCACTTGGAAGGTCTTGCACTAAGCACCTGTTAGACACAGAGTCCAAAGCTGATGGCAGGGGAGGAAGAAGGAACTAAGGGATCCTGCCCTCCACAAGCTTCCAGATCAGCATGTAAACTCTGACCTAAAGCCCTGACAATGTTTCCCTGCACTGACTCTTCTGAACCTGTGGATGTTATGTTTACACTGCTCTTATAACCCCTACCATATTTTACTTTGTATAATAGTTATTTTAAATTTAATATATATTAACAGATATCAATATCTGTTGAGTTTTCTTATTAATTAGGAGGTATCTGTCAATCACTGACTTGCTTAAGAACATTGATGTACATCTGCATTCTCTAGAACTCCAGTATTTTGTAAGTCATGAGGAGGTAGGGGAAAAGTTTTATATTTAACTGTTTGTAAAATGCTTCTGGTTCCCTTGTACATGTACAAGGGACATGTGTACATGGACATGAACATATACAATGTACGTGAACATGTCAAGGTGTCTGAGAAGTCTTGAAGACACCGGTATACCTTTTTAAAACTTCAGTGGATATTAAATATTAAATATTGCCAGGCACTGTGCTAAATGCTATTCAGGGCAAGGAAGGGAGTCTTGCCTTCAGAGCAATTAGCATGCAAGGTAAAAAGTCATATTAGAAAAGTTAGAAAGGTAGTTATTGGTTTATTTTTTGACAAACTGGCGGATAATTGACAAAGTTTATGTATTTAAATGATATGTATACATTTTGAAATAACCACACAATCAAGTTAATTAACATCCATCACATCACATAGTTACCTTTTATTTTTTTAATATAGAACACTTCACAAATTTGCATGTCATCCTAGTGCAGGAACCATGCTAAATAATCTCTGTATCATTCCAGATACAGAGTATCTGTATGTGTACTGCTGAAGGGACACTAGTCATTGAGCGTTAGCACAAGTCTTAAATCTCCTGACTTCATGAAGAAATGTAAAAATTTTCCGTTAGTTGTAGACATTTAAGTATACACCCTCAATGCTGGGTTTTCCTTTGCCTTGCCCTCCCAGCCTCCAGTCCTGTAGACGAAATGAAAGACTCCGAATTTAGGCTCAAAGTCATGTTTCTTTGTACATAGAAGTGTGACCATGTCTAAGGTACCCTGAACCTATTTTTAAACTAAATGACTGGAAGAAGAGGTAGGAAATTTAATATTAGTGTTCTATTTTTTTCTTTAAAATCTTTTGGGGCTACCCTTTATTTTTTAATTGTTTTCTTCTTCCATATTTGTTTTGCCACTTACAACTAAATAACAAAATGAAATGGAAGTGGAACTATTAAAAAGAAAATAATTAACAATTAGTTATTTAGAATACTTAGAATTTTGCTTTATAAAAATATTGCTAAAGCTATTACTCATGTTGAAGTTTTAGCATTCATTAATGTATGTATTTTGTGCAAAATCAGCAAATTCCACATTCCCGGTTTGGCTGTTATACACACAAATTAATGAATATACTTTAATGAATTTGATTAATATGCAGCAGTTTAAGATCCATTTTGTATTATTAGCCCATGAAATGTTCCTCATTGAATGCTGCTGAATCAGAATGCTGTATTTGCCTGGGAAAGCTGTCTCTCTCTCACACACACACAGAGACGCTCTTCACAAATAATGTAAAGCTAAGATTTTCGTAATTATCATAATTCACTCATTAAGATATTAGCAAACTGTCACAACCACAAAAGATTCTCTATGCATGGAATTTTCCATCTTTTGCCTGAACCCAAGATATACATGCAGTGCCAGTGCCCGAGAAGGTTAAATGGAAACCCTACTTCTGCATTTTATTAGCAAGTTTTGCAAACTACAAACAGCTTGAGTGTTGTATAAATTTATAGTTGTACTTGCACATTTGTGACAGTGGTTTTCGGCATGAAAGTTTTATCTAAGAGGTTTTACTTGGAACTGCACAGAGCAATTCCAAAACCTCAAAACTAAAGGAAAATAAAATTGAAGTGCCTTTACAATTGTGTGATTTATACGTTAAAGTATTTATTTTAAAACAAGATTAAAAATACTGCACTCCTAGAAACATTCTCTCCTGGTAGAAGCCACTCAGATGGAAAATTTCATCTATTTCAAACTGATTTTTTGCCTGAATTACTCTCACATATTTTCCTAAAACCTAGTCATGTCAACTGATTTATTCTACCTTAATAATACTGTGCTAGTAGCCAGGAAGATTCAAGTGTTGAAGTGGTAGAAGGCAGTTGGCCAATTAGGTGCTCAACTATATTTTGATTTTCTGTGCTTAGACATACTTATTCTTTTCTTACCTTCTGATCCCCTACTCAGTACTTCTAGATGAGAATTTCTGCATATTTCTGTCCTTGGAATACTTAGCCAAATTTGAGATATAGCATGCATTTTGGATCAAAATCCCAAATAAGAATAAGGCAGTGAAACCCATTTTCCCACTTTAAGAGGTAATAGAAGGAGCTCAGTATGACATACAAAGGGCGCATGTATTTCAATGTCTTTCCCAAGGCACCCCTTCGCCCCCCTCATAGTACAGTACCATCTGTGTCGTCACGATGCCCCTAATGATGGGGATGCTCTGCATCTTATTAAAGATGACTGGCCTACGACAGAGCTACTGGGTTGCAATATAAGAAGTCATTTTTTTTTAAGATTTTGTTTATTTATTTGACAGAGAGAGAGAGACAGCGAGAGAGGGAACACAAGCAGGAGGAGTGGGAGAGGGAGAAATAGGCTTCCTGCTGAGCAGGGAGCCTGATGCGGGGCTCGATCCCAGGACCCTGGGACCATGACCCGAGCCGAAAGCAGACGCTCAATGACTGAGCCACCCAGGTGCCCCAAGAAGTCATTTTTCAATGAAATTATTGACGCTTTTTCTTCAGAATTTTCTCTCTTACTTAAAAAATTACTTTTTTGCTTCAATTATTATTGTCATTGACTCACCATCCTCTGGCAACATATGTTATTTTTGAAAAATTGATTTTAAAGAAAAGAGCCTGCAAAATTTTCTTAACAGAAACAATTGCTAGGGCCGCCTGGGTGGCTCAGTCATTAAATGTCTGTCTCGGGTCGTGATCCCGGAGTCCTGGAATCGGGCCCTGCATCGGGCTCCCTGCTCCGCGGGAGGCCTGCTTCTCCCTCTCCCACTCCCCCCGCTTGTGTTCCCTCTCTCGCTGTGTCTCTCTCTGTCAAATAAAATAAAATCTTAAAAAAAAAAAAAAAGAAAAGAAACAATTGTTAGGCCAGAAAGTTAATGGGAGTCTATTGTCTGGATGAGTTCATACCGTGATCTTGAAATAAAAAGATATAGGATGTGGTATAAGTCTTAATTTATGATCTCAAGAAGTATGTGAGAAAGCTACAAAAGTAAATCCAGACTTTGAAATTTGGAATTTGCTTTGGAGAAAGATGATAATGGCAGCAATGACTGGAGCGTTTTCTCTAGGGGTAGCTCTCAGTTACCTTGATTCTACTCAACAAATCAAAGAAACTGTCATTATTTTTCTAAATAGCAGGACTGAAAAAAAGAAAACCAGCATTCTAGACTGGGTTCTTATCTTAATCCACTCACACTCATGAAGAATTCTTTGAGTGAAGGAATATGAAGCTTTCCTATGACAGCCCTGGCCAATCCACAGAGAAAGAGGGACTTGGCCCAGTAAGCCCTCCCCAAATGACCGTGTAACTCATTTTCTGAGGATAGAAAATTGAAAATGCATAAGTCCTGAGCTTTTCTCTTTACAACACCCCATTTGGAATAAAGAAGTCATCAGAAAAATGGGATTCTTTCTTGCTAACCTGACACATACCATCCATGGACTAGAAAGAGATAATTTGTCAATAGTGTCAGCTAAATGCTGCTGTGGCCCCCATCTTTTACCTAAGGTCTATTTTCATTTTACCCAATTCCACAAAGTTTGTTTTATTAAAATGAAAAATGGGATTATGGTGCTCCCTAGAAAGTCATTTTATCTCCTTCCAGCTGTTCAGTGACATACTTTTAACTTTGTAAAGTCACTTGTTTATAATTTAAACTAAAGTTAGTTGCTGCACACCCTGTTTACCTGTACCTAGTAGCAAATTTGTAGTGACAGGAGAAAAATCACTGAGTTCCCCTAAGTCTTGTGAAGAAAGCACAACTAATAGCATCCTGTCCCCAGTTTGGGGAAATGTATGTTGTACATATAACAGTCAGGGTTCTGTTGTAAATAATAGGAGGCTTTTTTCACTATTTTAGGCAAAAAGGGTGCTTTACAGGGAATTCAGAACTTAAATATTCATTAGAAGGTTGAGGAGAGCAGGCTCTCCACTGACCTCCAGGAACAACTCCAAGGACAATTTTGCAGACCCTGGCTTCCAAGGGCACTGAATCAGGAAGCTGCTGCAGCAACTGCCACCCCCAGGATCACCGCAGATCTTGGACTTTAGCTGCTTTCCAGGCATCAGGAGGCCACCACTGCAGCTGTTGGCTCCAGGAAGTTGCCACCTAGGCTGCAGTCGGCTGAGGAGAAATTGTAGCCCAACCTCTGCAGGGCCATCCTGTGCCTGCTAACTCCACAAGAGGAAAATGAAAGTCTCCTGCATCCCCGCTTCTCCCTCCCCTGAACTCGGCTCCACGTACAGGTCTCACAAGCATGCATCTGATTGGCCAAACCTAAATGGCTTCTTTAGCTGCATAGGAGCCTGGGAAATGAAGGTTTTGTTTTGTTTTGTTTTAATTTTCCAGTCTTTTCGATCCAGGAAAGCATGCTAATAGGAGGTTAGAACAGAGTTGAGATAGTTTTCCTAATCTATCCAGTACCCGTAGACTCATTTTCTACTACTGGTTAGCCATGCATAAAGTCCTTCATAGTTTCCTATTTTTAAAATTCCTTCTTCAATTTTTTGGAAATCTCACACTAGTTTTCTTAAAGTCATTTCAGATTGTTCTATCACTTCCATTTGTCAGGAGTCAATAGGTCCTGATGTGGTAGGTAGAATAATGTCCTCCTGGAAAGATGTTTATGTCCTAATGCTTGGAACCTTTTTCTTCAGACTTTTCTTTCTTAAAAAATTATTTTTTTTTTTTGCTTCAACTATTATTGTCATTGACTCACCATCCTCTGGCAACATATGTTATTTTTGAAAAATTGATTTTAAAGAAAATAGCCTGCAAAATTTTCTAACAGAAACAACTGCTGGGCCGGAAAGTTAATGGGAGTCTATTCTCTGGATGAGTTCATATCATGATCTCGAAATAAAAAGATATAGGATGTGGTAAAAGTCTTAATTTATGATCTCAAGAAGTATGTGAGAAAGCTACAAAACTAAATCCAGACTGTTACATTACATGGAAAAGGAGAATTAAAGTTGCAGATAGAATTAAAGTTGTTAATCAGCTAAGTTTAAAACAGAGAGATTATCCTGGATTATCCAGGTGGGCCTGATGTAATAACAAGGGTCCTTAAATGTGGAAGGGGCAGGTAGAAGAAGAGTTCAGAGTGTTGCAGTGTGAGAAATACTCATCGCACTGTTGCTGGCTTTAAAGATGGAGAGGAGCCATGAACCAAGGAATACAGGCAGCCTCTAGAAGCTGGAAGGGGCAAGGTAGTCGATTCTCCCAGAAAGGAATCAGCCCTGTTAGCACCTAGATTTTAGCCCACTGAAAGCCAATTCAGACTTCCGAACTCTAAATTTTTTTTAAGGATTTTATTTATTTATTTGACAGAGAGAGACCCAGCGAGAGAGGGAACACAAGCAGGGGGAGTGGGAGAGGGAGAAGCAGGCTTCCGGCTGAGCAGGGAGCCTGATGCGGGGCTCGATCCCGGAACCCTGGGATCATGACCTGAGCCGAAGGCAGCCGCTTAACGACTGAGCCACCCAGGCGCCCCTATCTTTTCATTTTAG